GTTTCCATATTCTCAAAATCTTTTGCCAGACCATCCTATTTATAAGGCTTTCCTGTTTCATCTTCCCCAACAACAGGTCACCATCACAAGCCTCCTGAGCCCCCTGCTCCCTGTCCCAGTGCTGGTGCCCGGTGTCCCCACGCTCAGGCCAGGCCAGCAGCCGAGATCCAGGTGACCTGGCTCCCGCAGCCCCCTGCTCCCCTGCAGCCCCTGCAGCGCCCCGGTGATGCTGGAGCTCGCTCCCCGCGTGTCCCCAGGGCGCCGGGAGCCCGGGCCGAGCCCTCCCGGTGCAGCGGGAGCAGCGGGGCCGGGCTGGACCGCAGTGCGCCGGGGCCGTCGCCGCAGCAACCGCCGTCGCCTAGCGCCGCTGTCTCCCGGTAACCCGTCGCCTAGCAATGGGGGATTTTTCACAGCTCGGGATGAAGAGTTGAAAGTTATTTTTAGCCCGGGTTGCGAATCAATAGGCAGCGCCATTCGCTGCCCGCAGGATGCACGGGGGGGGAGCAGGGGGGTCTGTCCAGCCTGGGGTCACCCCCAGCTCAGCCCCTCCTGTGCTGACCCCACAGCGCTCAGGGCTCTTCCCTGCCGAGGATCTGATTCCCCCTCGGCTTCCCCCCATGCAGGCCACGTGTGGGTGAGGGTGGGTGAGGACGTGGAGGCTTTCAGGCTTCTGTGGGGGCCCCCACAGAGAGGTGGGGGTGGCCACACTGCTGCAGGGACCATTGGACCCTCTTCTCACTCTGGGCACCCTCATCTTATTGTGGGGACTCTCAACCAGCCATGAGGTCTCTCCTCCAGCTTCTGGGAGCCTCATCCTTTCATGGAAACCTTCTCTCACCAGTGTGGACCCCACCTGGCCATGGGACCACACCTGGCCATGGGACCCCCACCTTACTGTGGTGACCCCACCTTGCCATGGGACCCCCACCTGGCCATGGGACCCCCACCTTACTGTGGTGATCCCACTTTGCCATGGAACCCCCGCCTGGCCCTGGGATCCCCTCTTTTCCACAGGGACCCCTACTTTGACATGTGGAGCCCATCTTTGCTTTGGGGATCCCCACCTTGCCGCTGGGGACCCCTGCCCTGCCCTGAGGACCCTCACCCCTCCAGACAGGCTCCCTGAGCTCCCCAAGCCCTCCCAGGCCACATTCCCACTCTTGGGGAAACCATCCTGGGGGTCTGAGTGAGAGGGGACACTGAGAGGGGACAGAGCTGGCTGGGTGCCATGCAGAGGAGCTCAGGTTGTCCCTACACGTCCCCAGGGATGGGCTGAGAGCTGAGCTGAGGCTCCTGAGCTATTTTTTCAAGACAAGGTGGGTGCCTCCCACAGGCACAGCTCCTTCGGGTGCTCGGAGAGCTCCGCGTGCAGCCCGGGGGGATGGGGACCTGCATGGGGACAGCCTGGGGACCCCCGGCCCCTGAACATCCTCCAGGGCCCCAGCTGCCCCAAATGTCCCTTTGCCTTTCCAGGAGGGTTTTTTTGGGCACAGCCCATCCTGGAGCCTCCCTGCCCGTGCCATCCCCACCCATGGCACAGTGGGGAGGGTGCCCAGAGCCACCCCACAAGGACATTTTGGGGGCAGCGTGGAGGTCCTGGGGACCTGCCAGAAACTCCAGGAGTGGCAGAGGGAGCTGCCCAGCAAAGAAAAACTTTAGGGTGACCCATCAGGAAGAGACAGGGTCACCAAAACCCAAGGGAAGCTCCTGCTCTGTGAGTGGCAGATGGGTCAGGGACAGAGCAATCCTGGATGAGTCCCAGCGGATCCGGAGGGGACATGGAACTGCTCAGGGAGCTGCAAGAATCTGTCCTGTGGGGAAAGGCTGGGAGAGCTGGGGCCATCCAGCCTGGAGGAAACCTTCTGGCATCCTGGGGATACCTAAGGGGCCTTGGGAGGATGGCAGAGAGGCTTTGGCCAGGAACTGTAGAGGCAGAAGGGTGTAGGAGTGTTGGGGGTAGGACGGTCGGGATGGACACAGAGATCTCTGCAGCCAGGTCAGGAACTTGGGGTTCATTGCAAAGGGCCTGGGGGCAGGGCCCTGCTGGGAGCTGCCAGCCACAGCTCAAAGCAGGCCCCAGAGAAGAGAAGGGGGAGAGAGGATGAGAGGGTAAGAGAGTAAGAGAGCGAGGTTCCCGTTCCAATACAATAAATCTTCTTCTGTGTTGAATATTCTAATTCTCACTAACCAATCTAGTACAAGATACAAATCCTATAGCATTTCCATACAGCCTATAAGAATCATTACATTACCATACTGTGTTACATTTTAAACCCTATAAACTCCTCTTTGGGCCCCTTCTGCCAAGCTGTAGGGTCTGCTCTGACCCTTGGAGCTGTCTGCAGGCAGAGGGTGTTGTTCCATCAAAAGGGGATCACCTTCAGCTGGCCATGCCATTGTTTTCCAGTTGTTCAGTAACTGAGGTATCTCAAAGCTTGCTTTCATTTCAATCTCCCTTATAGTTTCTATATTCTCAAAATCTTTTGCCATCATATTTATGAGGCTTTCCTGTTTCATCTTCCCCAACAAAGCGGAAGCAGTTTTCAGCTGGAGGAGGGTGTGTTTAGATGGGATAAAAGGAGGAATCGCGCTGTGGAGGAGGCGCTGAGGAGCTGGAGGAGCTGTGGGCGCCCCGGGGGCTGGAGCAGCCCTGCCCGGTGCGAGATGTCCCTGCCCAGGGCAGGGCTGGCACCGGCCGCTCCTCGGAGGTCCTGGGGGATGAGCTGAAGTTCCGCTCCCCAGTCCCACCCGAGCCCTCAGCGGGTCCCCGAGCGGCCGTGGCCGCGGTCACCAGAGGGCACTGCGAGCCCGAGCATCCCGGAGCGGCCCCGGGGCAGAGCGGACACGCGGCAGGGCCCGGCGGCTTCGGGGAGCTCGGACCCTCCCTCCTCGCCAGTGCCCGGGGACAAGGAGAGGTGGCCAGGGGACACGGGGGCCACCAGAGCGAGCTGCGGGCACGGCTGGCTGCTCGCTGTGTGCCCGGCGGTGCCACCCCACGGGCTCCCCGCAGGGCTGAGACCATTGCGGGTGCTGCGGGAGCCGCGCCGGCTCCGCCTCGGCCCCAGCTGCGGTGGCTGCTCCGAGGGGGCTCCGGGACCCCCCGATGGCCGTGCCCCGACCGCGGGGGTGCCCCGTACCCTGCTCCACCCGGGCTGCTGGAGCAGCTGCTGCCGGCCTTTCTCCAGTAACACCCAGTTAAGGTGGGTCGGGGGCTGTGGAGGGGGCCAGGGGCGCAGCCTCACCCCGGGGCACTGGCATTAGGGCGGACACTGCCATGTGCCTGCGGGGACGGTGGCACCGTGTGCCACCCCCCTGCATCCCAAGGGAGCATCCCCGCGGGGTGCTGAGCACCGCGGGGGTCAGTCTCGGTGCGGAGAGGTCCTTGGTGGGGACACCAGTGCCCGGTGTCACCCTGCCCCTGGTGTCACCCTGCCCCTGGTGTCACCCTGCCCCTGGCACCTGGCCAAAGCCATTGTTGGGGTCTCTGCCTGCCCAGCTCCGAGTCCGGCCGGTTCCACTCCCTCTCCGTGTCACCGGACCGGCTCTGGGACTGCGTCCCTGCCATGCCGGGGTCTCTGTGACCTCCGGGACACAGCCAGACCCTCGACCCAGCCACCCCGGCAAGGCCCTGATGGCAGCTGGTGGGCTCAGCACGGGGGCCAGCGGGTAGAGAGCCGCCCACCCGACCCCCAGCCCAGACCCCGACACCCCCACATCCCGACCCGCTCCACCTTAACCCACTGCCCCTCCGGCCCCTCATTTTCCACGGATTCCAGCAGCATGACTTCTTTCAGCATCATTTCATGGCCGGAGGGCTGTGAATCCTCCTCTCCCCGCCTGCCTCCCCCTCCCCTTCCCCCCTTCCCCTCTTTCTTCCCACCATCCCAATTTACAATCCCTCATTTCCATTCCGCTCCACCCTCTGGCCGGGGACTTTGTTCCCGGCCTGTATCATCCCATCCCAATTGTTCCGTGTTTATTTCAAACATTTTGGCGGGCTGTCACTGGATGGAAACTTAATTAATGGTGTGGTCTGTAGTGGTGGCACAATAGCGGCTGGAAAGGAGGGGGTGGAAAGAAATCCCCAGGTTTGGAGGGGGAGAATTCGGGGTTCGGATGTGCCTGACCCCCGTGTCCGGCCCGGTGCCACGTGCCTGGGCTCCCCCGGTCAGAAAATGCCTCCGTGGGGAGGGGGACGCTGCTGGTGATGGGGGGAGGTTATAAGGAGGTTCTGGGGGTGTGCACAGTTTGGGGTGTGCCTGGACTGGGCTGTGCACAGTTTGGGGTGTGCACAGTTTGGGGTGTGCCTGGACTGGGCTGTGCACAGTTTGGGATGTGCACAGTTTGGATGTGCACAGTTTGGATGTGCACAGTTTGGGTGTGCACAGTTTGGGGTGTGCACAGTTTGAGGTGTGCACAGTTTGAGGTGTGCACAGTTTGGGTGTGCACAGTTTGGGCTGTGCACAGTTTGGGATGTGCAGAGTTTGGGATGTGCAGAGTTTGGGATGTGCACAGTTTGGGGTGTGCACAGTTTGGGGTGTGCACAGTTTGGGGTGTGCACAGTTTGGGTGTGCACAGTTGGGCTGTGCACAGCCGGGGTATTCTCAGCCCGGGCTGCTGTAGCCGTGGCTGTCACAGCCATGGGCCTACAGAATTCAGGGTTCCCCTCCGGGGGTGGATCTGACCCTGAGGTACCCCAGCCCTGCCCCGGCTCCTGTCCCCTGCCTCAGCCGTGTCCCCTCCCGGTGTCCCCCATGCGAAGAGGCCCCGGGGGGCTCCGGGGATGCCGCTGCGGTGGATGCCGGTGCCCCCGGCGGTGGGGAGGGGGCCTCGGGGGCGGCTCCCGTGCCCGCCCCTGCGCCGCCATTGGCGGAAAGTTCGGGGCGCGACGCGGGGTGGCGGCCGCGCTCCCCCGTCCCCGCGGCCCCGGCCCCGGTGCGGGCAGCGCTGCGGGCAGGGCCGGGCCGGGCCGGGCGCCCGGGGCCGCCGCGGGCGCGGCCATGTGGGCGCTGCGGGCGCTGTGCCTGGCCGGGCTGGGGGCGGCCATCGGCGGCGGGGCCGCGGACCAGTGCAGCTGGAGGGGCAGGTAGGCACCGGAACACCGGCACCGGGAACCCCGCACCGGGAGCACCGCACCGGGAACCCCGCACCGGGAGCAGCGGCCCGGGGCGGGCGGGGGTGGCACACGCGGGTCCCCGGATCAGGCAGGTTCGTGGGGGATGGGGAGTCTGCTCTCCCCGCCCCCCCATCTCCATCTCAGGGCTGAACCCCTCCCGCATCCGTGGGGAGGGTACGGATGGGATGCTGGGAATCTGCGCCTGCCTCAGTTTCCTCAGCCCTGGGTGCGGTTCCCCGCCGCTTTGAGGGATGCTGGTCCCCCTGCGGGGCTCCGCACCTCTCCGGGACGCCCTCCCCGAGCCCCCCACCCGTGAATCCCATCCCCGTGGCCGGCGGGACCCCCGGCCCCCGGCAGGGCCCTGAGCATCGCCCGAAGGCGCCGGACTCGGAACAAAGAGCCGGGGCCCGCCAGAGGGGCTGCCCAACGCGGGGGGCCTGGGGGGACATGGGGGCCACGCAGCCACCAGCGTCCTGTCAGGGACAAAGCAGCCCCCGAGTGTCCCCGCTCCCCCGAGGCCGGCGTCCAGGCCCGTCCCCCCCTGTGCCGCGGGAGAGAAGCGGATCCAGGGCATCGTGTGCGGGAGCGGGACCCCAGCATCCCCTGGGGATCCCCAAAGTGGGAACAGGTGACCCCGAGGCTGTGGCCACTCCGGGGGTGGTTTGGGAGCCCACACTGCGTGTGAACGGCGCTGTGCTGCTGCCCCCCTCCACCACATACCTCCTTTCAAAAGGTGCTGGGACACAGGCACCCCAAAATGATGTGGCTGAACCCCAAGCCCACGTCATCGAGGGTTCGGTGCTGTTTCTGCCTGTGGCCATCCCGCACACCTCTGTGGAGGGGCTGCTTGGGAGTGCGGGGTGCTGCTGTGTGGGGGGACACGGGCCGGGGGGTCCCTGTCACTGACGAGGTGCTGTGCCCACAGCGGGCTGTCACAGGAGGCTGGCAGCGTGGAGCAGCTGTCCCTGCACTGCGCCGAGGGCTCGCTGGAGTGGCTGTACCCCACGGGGGCCCTCCGCCTCCGCCTGGCCCCCCGCCTGCCCCCCACCAGCGCCGCCGTCAAGGGCAGGAGCCCCCCGCGCGTCACCGCCTGCATCAAACCCAGCGGCACCTTCCGGGGGGCTCAGCTCTACCTGGAGAGGGAGGGGGGGCTGGAGCTGCTGCTGCCAGAGGCCCCCCGGCCCCACGCCCGCTGCTTCAGCTGGCTGCCCCAGGAGAAGGTGGCTCTGTTCCTGCAGGCCACCCCGCAGCCCGACATCAGCCGCCGCATCGCCGCCTTCCGCTACGAGCTGCGGGGGGATTGGCTGGCCCGGCCCGCGCTGCCCACCGCCAGCCTCGGCAACGAAGGTGAGCGCCTTGCCCTGCCTCAGTTTCCCTGGCCCTGCCGGGTGCCCGCGCGGGTGGGGAGGGGCTGGATCGGGTGCTGTCCCCCAGGGGGTGACAGGCTGTGCTTGGCCTTGCAGGTGCGTGCCGGCCGTGCAATGACACCGAGATCCTGATGGCCATTTGCACTAGTGACTTTGGTGAGTGAGGGGCCTGGGAGGGGCATGGACCCCAAAGGGGCACTGGGATGGGATGGGATGGGATGGGATGGGATGGGATGGGATGGGATGGGCTGTGCAGAGTGCTGCTGGGGATGGGGATGGAGCTGGGAATGGCGATAGGAATGGGGATTGGAGATCGGAATGGAAATGGAGATGGAGATGAAGATGGGGACTGGGATGGAGATGGGGATGGGAACAGGGATGGGAATGGGGATGGGAACAGGGTTGGAGATCGAGATGGAAATGGAGATGGAGATGGGGACTGGGATGGAGATGGGGATGGGAACAGAAGTGGGAATAGGAATGAGAAAAGAATGGAGAGGGGAATAAGGATGGGAATGAGAATGCAGGTGGGGACAGGGACTGGGATGGGGAGGAGGATGGGAATGTGCACGGGGACAATGATGGAGATGGGGATGGAGACAGGGATGGGGACAAGGCGGGGGATGTGGATGGCAGTGGGGACAGGGACAGGCCATGCTGACACCCTCCCGCCTTTCTCCCACAGTCATCCGCGGCAGCATCCAGAGCGTCTCCAACGACGCCGAGCTGCAGGAATCCATCATCGGGGTGAGCGCCACACGCATCCACCGGCAGAAATTCCCGCTGTTCCAGGCGGGCGGGCGGGCGGGGCGGCCCGTGGGCAGCATCCGCACCCCCCTGCGCTGCGGGGTCCGCCCGGGCCCCGGCACCTTCCTGTTCACGGGCTGGCTGCACTTCGGGGAGGCCTGGCTGAGCTGCGCTCCCCGCTACCGGGACTTCCAGCGCATCTACCGGGGGGCCCAGCGCACGCACCAGAACCCCTGCGAGTTCCCCGTGGACTGAGCGGCTCCGGGAGCGCCGGGGGACCACGGTCCTGCCTCACCGAGAGCATCCCGGGGACACGGGGACGGTGCCTGGAGAGAGTCTGGCACACGGGCCTGGCCACGGAGCTGGGCTGGGGCAGCACCCGCCGGCAGGCTGGGGGGTTTGGGGAAATCCTGCTGGAAGGGAAGGGATTTTCCCAGGGTGCCCAGGGAGCTGCCTGGGTGAGGGGTGCAGCAGAATGGGGAGCGGGGTGCTGCATGCTCAGGGGTGCTGTGGGCACAGTGGGTCTGGCCGGACCCCCAGACCCCGGCAGGGTTCGGGGTGGGTGGCCGTGGTGGCCGGTCCAGGGACACGGTAGGCACAGAAGGGAGTGGAAGGGCCAGGAGATGGATCTGTAAGGTTGGGGGTGGAAGGGGGAGCAGGCAGCGGTGAGCCTGGCCCTGGCACGGGCAGGAGCTGCGGGGCGGATGCCGAGGAAGAGGAGAGAAGCTGAAGGGAGCGAGGGCAGCGGTGAGGTGGGAGGAAGGCTGGTGTGGGGAGCAGAGGTGTCCTTGGCACGGTCAGGGCAGGACCAAAGCACTGACACAGGAAGGTGCCACGGGAGCAGGGAGAGGTGACAGTGCCACCCGTCCCTGGCAGCCCTGGGTGAGCAGGGCAGGCCGTGCCAGCCGCGGGGAACTTTGGACCGTGGGGGTGGGGGGCATCGTATGTGCACTAAAGTTATAACGATACCAAATTTGTGACTTCTTTTTTATAAACTAAGCTGTATTTGTAGCGTGTGGCTCCTGTTTTTAGCAAGCTGAGCAGGATGTTCAGACAGGCACTGCACTGTGTGCCACCTGCTCCCCTCTGTGCCAGCTCCAGCTGTGACCCTGCCTCCCATGGGGCTGGAAACAGCCCTGATACTCGGACATGTCTCTCTATGGAGAGATTTATTGCTGTTTGCACATTCTGCACCCCAGAAATCCCCAGCATGGGGCACTTTGGGGTCCCTTTCCCCAGGTATCCCTGGGTGTGGGGACCAGGGGCGTGTGGCCCCGTGCTGGGTGGGTGACCCTGCTGGTGGAGCCGCTGTCAGCACTGATTCTCGTCAGAGCCAGCGGCCACAAGGCCTCATTGTGCCTCATTGTGCCCGATTGTGCCGCGGCAGCATCCCAGCCCTGCCCTGCCCGCTCCCGCCCCGCCGCTGCCCCCGCGGCCCCAGCACCGGCTCTGCCCCCCTGGGAATGCCGAGGGGGACGGGACCTCCGGGCAGGGATGGGACGTGGGAATCCTGCACGGGGATGGGGAACAGAACCCCCGGTCAGGGAAGGGACACAGAATCCCCAGCCAGGAAACCTCAGCTGGGGATGGGGCACAGGAACCTCCCAGACAGGGATGGGACATGGGGCACCCAGGTGGGAATGGGGCACTGGAACCCCCCCTAGATATGGGACATGGGAATGGGGCACTGGAACCCCCCTAGACATGAGACATGGGGCACCCAGGTGGGAATGGGGCACTGGAACCCCCCTAGACATGAGACATGGGGCACCCAGGTGGGAATGGGGCACTGGAACCCCCCTAGACATGGGACATGGGAATGGGGCACTGGAACCCCCCTAGATATGGGACATGGGGCACCCAGGTGGGAATGGGGCACTGGAACCCCCCTAGATATGGGACATGGGAATGGGGCACAGCACCCCCAGGCAGGGACCTTTCCTCCCCACCAGTGATGCCACAGGGCTCAGCACAGGAAATCTCAGCCCCTGAGCCCCCCCAAACCCCTCGAGTCCCCCAAACCTCTCAAGCAAAGCTCCTGCCACGTCTGCTTGTACTTAACACCTTTCCAATTTTGTTTCAATTACACTTTTTCAAATATCACCAGCCAGGATGAGCTGCTGCTGAGTGTTCGGTGCCTCTGCTGACCACAATGTGCTTTTCCTTGCCAAAAAAAAAGTTTCCGAAGAATGCTGTGGGCTTTGGAGCATAATTAAATATAAATATCTATATGTGTGTGTGTATAGAATGATCTGGCTGTGATAAGATCCTGGTGGGTTTGATATACAACACATGTTTTCCCTTGAGGAGAGTTTGCTGCTTACTTTATGCTTTACTGCCAATTTTATACTTGGATATTTGGATTTTATCCTTTTTACTGCCCCATTTTGGGGCCGGGCTGGGCTCTGAGGGCTGGATCTGGCCCTGGGGAGGCTGAATCTCCATGCTGGGCACTGGAGGATGCCAGCATCCCCCTGGATTTTGGCAGCGAGCAGGAGCCAAGCGAGGCAGGGGGAAGGGGGAAGGAGTGGGAAACCCAGCGGAGGAGGAAAAATGAAGCTGGAAAAGCAATAAATGAGGTGCAGAGGGAATTGTGCTGCCCACGGCATCCTCTGTATGCGCGGGGGTAAATCACTGCTGCTCCGACCCCACATTCCTCCCGGCTAAATGCCGGCATTTAACGCCAGAGGCATCCGGCGCTTTTCTGCCCGGCAGCAAAACCTCTTGTTTTTCTTCCCATCTGTTTGTTTGGCCAGAGCAGCTCGGTGTGCTGCTGCGGAAAGGGCTGTGACAACGCTCGTTTGCTGGCCCAGAGGTTTTTGGGCTGGTTTTGGTGCCCTCTGGCCCCTGTCAGGTTGGGTCGTTTCCCGCGGCTGTCACCGCACGGCGCCGGGCCCCGGCCAGGCCACCGAGGCTTCCTGTGGGAGCACCCCAGGGATAACCGTGCCTCAGTTTCCCCTCTGTGAGCTGGGGCTAACAGCCCTTCCCTGGGGCTCCAGGGAGCCAGCTGGAATCCCACAGCTCTGGGATCTCCAGCCCAGCATTTCCCCGAAAGCAGACCCCAGCCCTGGCCCAGCCAAAATTCCTGCCCGGCCTCTTGGCACGGAGCAAGGCCATGAAGGGTGAAAACACAATGAGACAAACTCCATCCCGGGGAATATTTCCTCCACAGGATGGAAAATGCTGTGGGAGGCAGCAGGGCGAGGGGTGGGGACACTGAGTGGAGCTGGGGGGGTCAGGAGGGGTGAGCATGGTGAGGGGTGACCACGCTGAGGGCAGTGGCAGCGCCCTGGCAGGACAGGGCAGGGTGGCCCCATGGGGACAATGCAGCCAGAAGTGCTCCAAAAGCCCCCCCACTCACCAGCCTGCCCCGCACGGGGTGTGCTTTGGGGCAGCCTTGGAGAGCAGCGCCCCAGAGCAGCTCCCTCTGTGCCCAGGGATGTGCCTGGGGCTCCTCATTCCGTGGGATCAGCCCCATTGTGGACCCACAGCGCAGATCCAGAACCTTCTGGGGGTTGTGCAGCCCTTCGGTCGCGCCGTGGGTGGGCATTCACACATTCACATCGCGATGGCAAAGCCCGGAGCGGTGGCGCTGCCGCCTGTCCCCCGTCCCTGTCCCCATCCCTGTCACACAAAGGCAGTCGCCGTTTCCCGCCATTTCCCCCCTCCAGCCCTTCTCCCCCCTCTCCTGCTCCCTTCGCCCTCCTCCCTCCCGGCTGCCGGATGAAAGCCCGAACGTGTGTGAATCGCAAAGGGAGCCACAAAGGGAGCCACAAAGGCGGCTCAGCCCTCCCTGCGGCCCCCAGCACCGAGAGGGGACCCCCGGGGACCCCGGGCAGCCTGCCCAGCCTGCCGGCAGCACCCCAGAGCTCGGGGGTGCCTCTGAGATCAGGGGATCCCCAATAGGGTCGGGATAATGTCCCCGGGGTTCAGGGATGCCCTACAGGGTCAAGGTGATGTCTCTGGTGTTCAGGGATCCCCAGTAGGGTCAGGATAAGGTCCCTGGGGTTCAGGGATCCCCTACAGGGTCAGGGTGATGTCCCCGGGGTTCAGGGATCCCCAGCAGGGTCAGGATAAGGTCCCTGGGGTTCAGGGATGCCCTACAGGGTCAGGGTGAGGTCCCAGGGTTTGAGGATGCCCTATAGGGTTGGATGATGCCCCTGGGACCAGGGGAAGCCCCATAAACTCAGGATAAAACCCCTGGGGCTCAGAGTTACCCCATTGGGTCAGGATGATTCTTCTGGAGTTTAAAACTCAGGATGAAGCCCGTGGGGTCCAGGATGCCCCAGAGGGTCAGGATGAGCACCTTGGGGCCGGAGGAAGCTCCACCCCACAGCCCTCGGCAAGAGGAGAAGCAAAACCCCGATAACTCTGAGGACACCCCCCGAGTGCTGCACCCCAAATCCTGGCATCAGCTCTGCTTCCAGCCCCATCCTGTGACCCGGACAAAGCCAGGGAGGGATGCGGGGCCTGGAGCCGACCCCGGCCCGCAGCGGGGCCCCCTCGGCCCCTCACCCGCGTCCGGCTGCCGACAGCTGCTGGGAAGCGGCGTTCCCAGCACATAGCGACAAATTCCTGGCGCTCGGGGCTGCTTTGCAGCCGCCGCGGCCCCGGCGGGGGAAGCTGCCCTGGAAAGAGGAGGATTAAAAGCTCTTTGGCTCCAGTGACACATCGCACCCGGTCCCCTCGCACGGCCACCTGCTCGTCCCGGCGCTCCGAGATGCTGCGGGCACCCCGGGGCAGGGCAGGAGGGGAGCGGGCACCCCCAGTGTGAAAAATGCGTGTATTTTATGATTGGCTTTTTGTAAATATTCAAATGAATATTATATGTGTTGTGTTAGAAAGTAATTAATTAATTACTGTATTAATTCTCTTAAGTACTGTGGTAAATATAGTTTTAGGTTATAAAAATTGTTAAAATACAAACTGTGCTATGTAGGATACTTTTTTTAAAAAAAGGACTCGCAGCAAGATAGCAGCCACAGGACACCTGAATCTTTCAGAGAAAAAGAATTTATTGCTCTCTTATTAGAAGAAACGAACTTCTTCCCGCCTTGAAGGCGCTGTTAGGATTGAGAGGAAGAAGTTGATGATGACCAGACAGAATCCTGTGTTTGAATGGAATTTATGCATCATGTATGAGGTGTATGACTATGCAACAGGCTGTTGCTTTTAAGGGTTAATCCTAATCGTGCTGCCCAGAAAAAGGTACCCGGACATCTGTAACTCTTTGTATTTGTTATCTCATATTGTCC